GAGCCGTAAGGGGTAGGTCCGATGCTGAAGTAACGGGGGGTCGGAGCTACTGCAGAAACACAATCAAAAACTGAGGAACGAGGGGGTGGGAGGGGCTTTTTAATCTTGTTGATTGTGTTTCCTGTAGACTGAAGAACCAATCATCTCTCAGGTTGCTGTCCTGGAAGCCTCCTAACTCCTCCCCTCCCCTTTCTGTAGGGGTCCCCTAAGGCTCTGTCCTTCTTGGACCCCTTCTCTTCTCTATCTACACCTCCTCTCTTGGTCAGTTAATAACCTCACATGGCTTCCAATACCATCTCTATGCCGATGACACTCAAATCTACCTCTCTACTCCGCAACTTACCAACCCAGTGTCCTTGCGTGTCACTAATCTACTAACTGACATATCAGTCTGGATGTCGCAACACTTCTTAAAACTCAACCTTTCAAAAACGTATTTTATTATGTTATTTCCTCCCGCCCGTGCACCTTCCCCCAACTTTTTCCTTGAGATTGTTAACACAACTATCCAGCCCTCCCCCCATGCCAAGGTCCTAGGTGTCATCCTTGACTCGGACCTTACCTTTCTTCCCCACATCCAATCACTATCCAAATCCTGCCGCCTTCACCTTCGTAACATCTCCAAAATACGCCGCTTATACACCAAGGAAACCACAAAATTACTCATCCACTCACTTGTTAAATCTTGTCTTGACTATTGCAACTCCCTCCTCATTGGCCTTCCACTACACAGGCTATCCCCCCTGCAGTCTATCATGAATGCAGCTGCTAGACTCATTCACCTAACCAACCGCTCAGTGTCTGCAACCCCCCTCTGTCAATCCCTGCACTGGCTTACAATAGCCCAAAGGATAAAATTCAAAATATTAACAACCACTTACAAAGCCATCTACAACTCTGCTCCCGGCTATATCTCAAACCTGATCTCAATGTCTCACCCTAACCGTCCCCTCCGCTCTTCACAAGACCTCCTGCTTTCCAGGTCCCTCATCAACTCCTCCCATGCTCGCCTCCAGGACTTCACTAGAGTCTCTTCCATCCTATGGAACTCTCTACCCCAACCTGTCCGTCTATCTCCCACACTGACTGCCTTTAGGCGATCCCTTAAAACTCATCTCTTCAGGGAAGCCTATCCCACCTCAACCTAACCGCTGAACAATCACTTTCTCAAACAATCATCCCCGCACATCAACCTCCTCATGTATCACTTGCCCCTCCCTTTTAGATTGTAAGCCCTCACAGGCAGGGCCCTCCTTACCATCTTGTCTTGAATTGTATTGTGATTGTAATGGCTTCCTTATATTGTAAAGCGCTGCACAAACTGTTGGCGCTATATAAATCCTGTATAATAATTATCTGTGGTATATCCTCAAGGCCTCCTTTTGGCTTCCATGACACTGGAGTCAATCCCTCTTCCAAACACAAGGTAAAGAGGAACCCCACCCTTATCATAAAATTATGATGTAATCTTCCCAAGATGCATCTGTGAGGTCAGGACTACATCACCAGTATCTAACTCAAGTAGGACGTGGAAAACAATAACTAAGTAAAAGCTAAATGTGTTTGTTTAATAAATGTAACATGATTTAATGTCAGCATGAAGAGCTGCACGCTAATGTACTTTGTGTAAGGGGTAAAGGTCCTTTAAGAGAACTATATTTTTTCTGATTACTGAAATTTTTGTCTGTTGTATGCACTTAAAGGAGAACTATGAGGTGAGTGAAAATCACTCAGCCTCATAGATTAAGCCGACGTGTGACAATGATACTGTCACACGTCGGCTCAATAGATCGAGAAGTGAGCGAACACATACTGACGCTTGCTTACTTCTCGATCCTGATTCCTGATCCCCCCCTCCCCTGTCTGATCCTCCAGCGCTGACTGGCGGAACTGACGGGGGAGGAGGCAAGTACAGCTGGCTTTGCCTCTAGGTAGGCAGAGCCAGCTGTCAATCACGCAGCTGGGTGGATCTCGACAGTAATGTCGGGATCCTTCCTATTGCGGCGGTCTCAGTATACCGCGAGCTGTAGCTCGCGGTATACTGAGCTTTGGGTCACGGGAGGACGCTAGTTTGTGTCCTCCCGTGACCCTTAGGAGAACTATGGGGAAAAGCACTGATCCCATAGTTCTCCTTTAACATTCAGCTAAATTTAAAATGTTTAATCAAGTGTTCACATTATTTATTTCTAACACACTGTTGCCAGTGTGAAGCAGAAGATGTATTTGCTAGAAAGAGATTCTTGCTACCTGTAGTGAGCCTAACCCAACCAATATTCCTATATGGACAAGTTTATCAACTATGGATGTCAGTGCACAAGAGGACTACTGTGGGTTCATAGTTCTAGTCAAAAATGGCTACATCATTGGTCACAAGCAGGTGGAATAATGCACAGATTGTTATAATAAAGGACAGATTTGGGAACCACAGCTTTAGTAAGATGGCTGCTGTGTGGATATAGCAAGTGTAGCCCTTGCTTAGCTGCTGTCCCCTTGAGAAATATCCTTTGCAGGAGCACAGCAGAGCTGCTGCTGGGAGCTGGAGGGACCATTGGGCGTTGGAGTCTCTGTGCAAGAGACAGAGCCAGCCAGTGCAACATAGAACTACAAGGCCCAGGCAGCACAGCAAAGAGGGGAGAGGACTGTGGGGATCTACAGTATACTGAGCACACCAGAGCGAGATTTCATTCCCTCCAACTGTAGTCACATCTCCCGGTCACTTTGCACTGCCCAGGGGGAGGGATCACTGTGCACTAAAGAAGCAAAGCATTGTGGGAAAAGGAGTGAAACCAAATAATCCCCAGTGACGCTGCACTTCTCCGGTGACACCAATCAATCACCGGTGACCCTGCACATCCCTGGTGACCCCGCACATCCCCGGTGACACCAAACAATCTCCGGTGACCCTGCACATCCACAGTGACCCGGAAATCCCCAGTGGCACCAAACCATTTCCAGTGATCCCGCACATCGCTGGTGACACCAAATAATCTCCGGTGACCCCGCACATCCCGGTGACACCAACCAATTTCCAGTGACCTCACACATCCCCGGTGACACCACACTTCTGTGACCCTGCATATCCCTGGTGACACCATACAATCTCCGATGACCCTGCACATCCCCGGTGACAATAATCTTCGGTGACACCATACAATCTCCGGTGACCCTGCACATCCCCGGTGACACCAAACAATTTCCAGTGACCTCACACATCCCCGGTGACCCCGCACTTCTCTGGTGACACCAATCTCCGGTGACCCTGCACATCCCCGGTGACCCCGCAGTTCTCCGATGACACCATACAATCTCCGGTGACCCTGCACATCCCCGGTGACAACAATCTCCGATGACCCTGCACACCCCCGGTGACACCAAACAATTTCCAGTGACCTCACACAAACCCGGTGACCCTGCACTTCTCAAGACACCAACCGGAGGACACAGCGGGGATCGTGGACAAGGTAAGAGACGCTACGCTGTATTCCCGAGTGTGGCTCGGGGTTACCGCTTATGGTACTGAAAATTAACCCCGAGCCACACTCGGGAATGCCGCCAAGGAGGTTAAGTAACGGTCCATTCACACTGTGTTGGGGCTGCACAGTCCAGCATTACATTTTTTCAGCGCAATGCGATGTGGAACAACTGCCTCGCATCCCGCTGTGCCCGTAGAACTGAATAAAATGTCACTGTACACAGTGCAATGTGCTGGTATAGGGGCATCAGCACTGTATCAGGCACCGGGCACCAGCCACTGTGCGTTCTGTGCAGTCCCTGGTGTGAACGGACCCTAAATCTGATTTACTCCAGCCCCTAGGCAAAAATGAGCACTTGCAAACCGGGATTAGTCCCACTGCAAGAGTATTTTTTTTGTCTGCCCAGAAATTATATTCAAATAGCGCTTTAATCCAATGGCAGAGTGATCATGTTTATACTTTGTCCTTCTTATGCACCCTCCTATACGACACAACAATATTATCGCCTCCCTTGACAGTTCTGTGTGGTCACAAAGATTCCAAACCTGCCTGCACAAGGCACTTGTACTAATGTTACACAGCCCACCGAGTTAAACGCATAGCACTGTAGCGCTCTCTTGCTCCGGAAGCGGAAGTGTCCTGTCAGGTCATGGCACTTCCGGGGTCAGAAGCGCTAAATGTTTTTGGCCAGGAGTATTGGATGAAGGGGTCTGGAGTGAACTGTCAGAGAGGGCGACTTGGTTGACGATCGGATGGCAGGAGCGGCAGTGTAAGTGGCTCTGTGCGAGTTTTGGCAATGACGGAGACTTAGCACAACTATCGCTGATAGTCCACAGACGGAGGGAAATTGTGCGGTATGGAAAGGTTCGGTCACTGAGGTGGTCGGCTGCCTGTCGTGTTTGACTATACCTTATCACTGCCTGCCATTCGATTTCCTCTATAATAAAAGAGCTCACCTCTGGGTGTGAAATGCTAGCTCACACAGCCTGAAGAACCTGTGTTGGAGGGGTGTATTGTTTTATGTGTGCCTTCCATTTCACTTCCTGTCCTGGGGACATTTGTTACTGGCATGAAGTTTGTCCTAGCTCTATTTCAAGTCTATGTCAAGCCAAAAACCTGTGTTTACGTTTTGGATAGTGTGAAGAAGGATTGGAATGCTTCTTGTTTTTACTGCTCTCTGAGGATCTCTGTTACATAGATTTTTCCTCTCTGTTCTGGTGACAACAGCAAACCTCCAGACAGGAAGTGAGGGAAATTATGTAACAAGCACACAGACAGGAATACAATTCTGAAAGGGGATTTAGCCTTCTACTCTTCTAAAAAAAAATATATATTTTTTTTGTTGGAGAGTTCCCGCAACGTCCTGTCAGATATAATGTTGTCTGTCAGATATAATGTTGTCAGTGGAAAGGAAGTAAGGGGAACCTCTTAATGAAGTCCTGGATACTGGCTAGCAGTAAAAACCAGACATGAGTTTTAACTCTTCCCAGTTCTATCCAAAAGAAAAAAGTTTGGGCTTGACATATTCATTAATATATTGCAGCTTACCAGTGTTTAGCGTTGATGGCTGCCTTTATTATCTTTTTCAGGCTTCCTGTGAGGGTGACAACGCTCAACCACTGTACCGTACTGTATCTGTGGAGGAGCAGTGTTGCTTAGATGAGGTAGCTGCATTAGGTTTATTTTCTAATTCGTGATCCTGCCAGCAACATACCATATTTGCCGGCGTATAAGACGACCCCCTACTTTTTGTGTTAAAATATTGGTTTTGGGCTATACTCGTCGTATAAGACGAGTATAGCCCAAAATAATGTTTAAATGCACCCACTAACATCCATGGCGGTATTCCCGAGTGTTGTTCTAGGTTAATTTTCAGTACCATAAGCGGTAACCCCGAGCCACACTCTGGATTACAGTCTCTTACCTTACCGAAGCTACATACAGTATACCGTATCCTTCCGTATGTACCCGGCGTATAAGACGACCCCCGATTTTCGGGGGATATTTTAAGGTCTCAAAACGCGTCTTGTACACTGGCAAACATGGTATCTTCTGTCCTATAGGGTGACAACACTCACTCACTGTATCTGTGTAAATGCAGAATTGTCATCCTGGGAGAACTGCAGAACACTTCCCCCCTCTTAATCTCCATCATTCACACCAACTAATCAATAATGAGATAGCAGAGGTAGCCCCATTGCAAGGGTTAAGAATATTTTTGGCAGAGTTCTACTTTAAAATATAGGCATTTCCATGCATAAGATCCCCTGGTGCCCAGCCTGCAGCCCTTTAGCATTTAGGGCTTGTTCACACCAAATGCAGAGCAGATCCGCTCAGGTTTCTGCACACGCAGTGCAGTGGGTTGTGACGCGTTTTTGATGCGTTCCGGGCCGTTTTTGGTAAAAAACATGGACTTTCAATGCGTTTCAGGCATTTGCATGTGTTTTTTGATGTGTTTGCAGATCCAGAGCAGGTAAAATGGGGGCAGTTTTTTCACCTGCTCTGGAACTGCACGCTGCGATGTGAACTGGAGCAACAAATACCATTGGAATACATTGGACGCAGTTTTGATCCGGTCTGCAACTGCTCTGCACCTGCTCCGCGCTTGGTGTGAACAAGGCCTTAAAGGAGAACTATGGGGATAAGGCTTTTCCCCATAGTTCTCCTTAGGGTAACGGGAGGACACAAAACTAGCGTCCTCCCGTCACCCTAGGCTCAGTATACGCTGAGATGCTGCAGTATACCGCAAGCTGCTGCTCGCGGTATACTGAGGCGCCGCAGCTGAAGCGGATCCCGACAATTATGCCGGGATCCGCCCAGCTGCGTGACTGCCCGCTGGCTCTGCCTATCTAGAGGCAGAGCCAGCTGTACCCGCCCCGTCCGTTCCGCCAGTCAGCGCTGGCGGAGCGGGGAGGGGGGAATCCAGCCCCTCCCCTGTCACGGCAGAGAGCCGTGACAGGATCGAGAGGCGAGCGAACGCCGGTATGTGTTCGATCACCTCCCGATCTACTGAGCCGACCTGTGACAGTCTCATTGTCACAGGTCGGCTAGGACTATGAGGTGAGTGAAAAGCACTCACCTCATAGTTCTCCTTTAATGTGTGGCCTGTAGGGGTCCCCAGGACTCCTGCAGACATTGAGGTTGATTTGCTTAAGGCAAATTGCAGGGGAACTTTCCCTTTGCTTAGTGAAGGAGGTGAAGCTCTGCTGACTTCTATCGTCCAATCATTTGCAACCAAAAATACAGTTTTTGTTTTTTTTAAATTATTCTTCTTCTTTTATTTTCCCTGCACATGATCCGGCATTCTTTGCAAAGTAAATTCTCACCTCATTTACTGTGTAAAGGGAAAATTCCTTTGTAAACAGCTCATTTGCTTTTACTAGTTAAAGTGGTTTCTAAGCAGTTACATGGTTTGGCTTATTTCTTTTACATTATCTTACTTTTTGTGTGCTGTCTAATCTTCTTCACTGTTTGTTTTTTCTTCCTGTGACCTTTTTATAATCAAAATATCAAATGTGGCACAAGTCATTTTTTAAGTGGACTGCAAAGTGCACAGACATGGAAGCATTTATTTGTAAAGGGGCAGTAATGACCATCATCTTTAGCAGTCTCATGTTATATGTTTCCAGTCTATGATTGTCTCCTGTAGCATGTCACCAGTCCTTGACCATACGCTGGCTATGTGTGGAATGCACAAAGTATTCTTGGCCAACTCCTGTTGCATGTATGCAGTCACTGACAGCTTTCTGTAACATTACATTTAGTAAATGTCATGTAGGGGTGTGGCTGTTTACATTTATTATTGGTATTTATAATAATATCAATTATTTACAAAGTGCACATTCACATCCATCCCTGTCTCAAGTAGCGTACAGGGCCTGGGCCTGTTCACACGACGTCCGTTTTCTGTGCTGACCTGATCCGTACGCTCCTGCACTAAAAATGCATCCCTATGTGTTTTATGGGCTACAGTTCTCACGTGCGCAGTCCGTTCAGGTTACGACAGAAAAATACTGCATGTCACATTTTGTACGGTCCGGAAACGCATAACATGTCAAAAACGCACTGCATCTAACATACTGACAGGCCCACTCCAGCACAAAAAAAACCAAAACATTTTTTTTTTTTAACTGGAACGCATCAAAAACGCGGCAAAAACACATACCCCCGCTTCTGCAGATCCGCACCTGATCAGGACCTGAAACTCATGTGAACAGGCCCTTATGCCCCAATCTCACACGCATACATATGGGGGCTAATTAAAGGTGCCCATACACAATACAACCCTCGCAAGACTTTTGTCTTGCGAGGGTTGTAAAGTAATGAAAGAAACGTACGATCTGCCCATCTTGGACAGGCAGCTCGTACTTGCGATCATCGCAACACCGCACAACGGCTCGTTCGGCAGTTGTCTCTCGATCATGTTAAAAACCAGCCGAAAATCGTGCGATTCTCGTCTGGTTTTCCAACATGTTCGAAATACAAAAGTCGTGCGACCGTACAGTAGGAACGGTCGCACGCCTTCCATACACTGCACGATTCTCGTACGATCGCGGGAATCGTGCAGTGTATGGGCACCTTTTAGACAGGAGCCAATTAACCTTCCAGCATGTCTTTGGAGTGTGGGAGGAAACTCACGAAAGCACAGAAAGACAATACAAACTCCTTGTAGATGGTGACCTGGCTGGGATTTGAACCATTGCAAGGTAGAGGTGCTAACTAGACATGTGCGATTTATTTTCGTTCCGAATCGAAATTCGGAAGTATCCCTATTCAGAATTACAGCTAAAACAAATCTGAATTTCCGAATTTCGTTTCATTCGTACCCGAAATCCATACCAGGCCCTTTAGGTCTGGTAGGAATTTTAAGGGGGAACCCCAGCCCCAAAAAACAGGGGGGGGGGGATGTGGGGTCCATAACATTCCTACCAGACCCTTGATCCGCGCATAGGGCTGGCAGGGGGGGGGCAATGGAGCGCCCACCTCCCTGTGCCTTACCATGGGGTTTCCCCATGCCGATGGGGACAAGGGCCTCTTCCCCACAACCCTGACCCGGTGGTCGTGGGAGTCTGCGGGCAAGGGGGCTTATTTGCATCGGGCTACCCCTTTAAGGGGGCACCCAGATGCCGCCGCCTCCCCCCTTTGTGAATGAGTAAGGGGTACTTGTACCCCTACTCATTCACTAAAGGGTTCAAATTCAAAGTAAATAAAGAAACCACACTTTTAGAAAAAAATCCTTGAATTGAAAAAAAAACCAGTCAATTTTTGACGATTCCTTTTAATTTAAAAAAAGGCTCCATCAATGTAATCCAGCGTCAAGCACGACACCCGCCGAAATAAAAAAAAGTCCCGCCGCACGAGGACCGTCCGAACCCGACGAAAACTCGCTGCAAAATGACAATTCAGACTACCGTTAACGAATTTCGTCCGAAACTAATTGACTTTTGGAGCCGAAAAACGAAATAACGCAGAATCTGAATCAAAACGAAACAAAACAAATTTGCCGGTGCACATGTCTAGTGCTAACCACTATACATTGCGGACCCCTAAACACAACAGGGAATTACATACCCCCCTCTGTGTGTTTGCACAGAACATAGGGGCAGGCAGGCAGACGGCTGCAGTTTTTACTAAACTGTGAAAGTCAATGTTTAATAACTGTGGCTTTCGCTATGCGGACTGATGCAAGACACAGACAGGGAATGTACTTTCCACTTTGTGTATGAGCCAGTATAGTATGAACCACTGTCCTGAATGATCATCTCTCAATGCTTAGTTAAA